TATGCCTCTAGTTCGGTGCACTCCGCAAAAACTGGTTCATCGATATCAGAATCCCTTTTCGTTAGGCAGGCTGATGCTGCCGCAAATAGAGCTGGTTTGGAAGCAAAGGTAATGTTTTTGGCCGAGAAACAGAGATTAACCGAAGAGACTAGAGCCGCTAGACAGCGTGAACTGGACTTAGACTTACAACGAGAGAGACTTGAGCTTGAGATGGCAATAGTTGAATCCAAGGCACGCGAACGAGAATTTGGTAAATTCAAAGCAAATTTCGATCACCAAATAGGCATTAACAATTCGGCTAACATCAAGTCAGATGCTGGTCATCAGACCGTGGTAAAAAGCGAGTCTCCAGAGCACCATCAAGCGGAAGAATGTGGTGCTACAGCAGCACCGAAGCAGGAAGTACCAATTGTAAATTTAAACACTTCATCGAATGATACGTTCACTCAAATGTTACGACTGACTGAAAGAAACAGTATACCTCGAGTGGAAATTGAGAAATTTGGCGGTGATGTCTGGTCTTACAGGTCTTTTATACGCGCCTTCGATCATCTCATATGCGATAAGGTTCAAAACGAAGATGAAAAACTGTATTATTTGGAACAGTACACAACAGGCCAGCCCCGAGATATAGTTAGAGGATGTCTTCATATGCCAACCGAAAAAGGATACAAAGAAGCTAGACGTTTGTTCGAGGCCAGATATGGCAATCAACATAAAATCGCAGCATGTTCGGTAGATCGGATACTGAACTGGCCAACAATCAGAGTAGACGACATTAACGCCATGGACGACTTCTCCATTGCTCTCCGAACCTGTTACAATTCCATGGCGGATAAGGTAGCAGGTGTTTCTGAGTTGGATCATCCTAAAACAATACGGCGAATTTTGGAAAAGTTGCCGGTATACATCCAGCATGGGTGGCGTCGTCTCGCTGACGATGTGAGTGAGCAAAGAAACAGAATGGTAGTATTTAAAGATTTAGTAGACTTTGTAGAGAAAGAAACCAGAATATTAACAAATCCTCTGTTTGGTCGCCACTTATTTATGGCTGGAGAACAACCGGAGAGGAGGCAAAGGAGCGGACCATCAAAACAATACACTTTGGCGGCTAAAGTGGGCCAATCGGAAGCTGCCAGTCAGCCGATGTCTTGCATGTGGTGCGAGGCAACGCACCCCCTAAAGGAATGCTCGAAGTTTGTAAGAAACCCAATGGAAGTTAAGAAGGAATTTATCAGGAACAAATCACTTTGTTACGGTTGTCTGTCTCCGGGCCATATGGCTAAGGACTGCACGAGCCGCAGTATATGCCGCGTGTGTAGCCGGAGGCACGCTACTGCCTTACACGTGTCCCCAGACACTGGTGCCGACACCAGGCCAAGAACAGATCAGGTCATTGAGATGATTAAAAACGGAAGAGTAAATATCAGCACTGGGAAATCTTTAGCACACTGTGGGATGGCCATTGTTCCGGTAAAAATCAAGGCTTCTACTGGGCGCTGCGTGGAGACTTATGCTTTCTTAGATAACGGCAGTTCAGCTTCCTTCTGTACCGAATCGCTATGTAAAAAGTTGCATATGTATGATCTACAGCCAATTGAACTCAAGCTTACTACTGTACAGTCACGGGGAGAGGCCCTGTTGAGCAAGAAGGTCGACGGACTCATGCTGAGTGATTTGGATGAAAATGAATATATTCCGCTTCCCCCGGTATATACTATACATAGAATACATACCGGTGTCTCAAGATGACATTTTGAACGTTCAAGATGTCAGCAAGTTCCCATACCTCAGCGACATATATTTGCCTCAAATAGACGCTGGCATAGAGTTAATGATTGGAAATAATGTTCCCCAGGCCATGGAACCGTGGGAAGTGCGCCACAGTGAAGAGAACGGCCCATTTGCCACACGGACCAAGCTGGGCTGGGTCGTTACTGGCCCTGTCAGAGACGCTTGTGCAGACAGAGCGCAGGTAAACCGAACATGCATCTCTGTGTCAGATCATCAGCTGTGCGACACGTTTCAGAACATGTATGAGCAAGAATTCCCTGAGAAAAACCACTCTGTTGAAAGAGGGCTGTCAAATGAAGATCGAAAATGGATGAAGTTAGTCCAGAGCAGCTGTACAATGTCGTCAGATGGTCATTACGAAATAGGTCTGCCACTTCGTCAGGCCGATCGTAACCTCCCGAATAATCTGGAGCTGGCAAAAAGAAGACTCGAAGGTCTCAAACGAAAACTTCTGAGGGACTCACTCCTGCAAGAACATTATGTGGCCACTATGACGGATATGATATCGAAAGGCTATGTAGAGCGTGCGCCTGAGCAAGACCCGGTACAGAAATATGGAAAGACGTGGTATCTCCCACACCATGGGGTGTATCATCCCCAAAAGCCACATAAGGTTAGGGTGGTTTTTGATGGTGCAGCAAGCTTTAAAGGAACCTCACTGAACGAATCTCTGCTTCAGGGACCAGATTTGACGAATTCCCTCATTGACGTACTTTTGCAATTTCGATGGGCTCCCGTGTGCTTTACAGCTGATATACAGGGTGTCCCATAAGTTCCTTCTCACCTAAATTTTTCTTTTAGAGGCTCTCTTATTTAAAGCCACGCTTAATTTATTTTGTAACTGAGCTTTTGGGGTTGCCATGGCAACTGTGAATGTGCTCCACGGTAAATAATTCGTCTAGACAAAATATTTTTTGCCAGAGAGTTCACTTCCTTTGGAGACGGCTTACGCCGCAACATAGAGGTCTCTGATACGGGAACGTCTCGGTATTTAGACCGCACTGGGCCATTCACGACGGTTGAGGGTGATTGAGGCCATGCAGTATGTAGCCAATGTCTGTCGCTAACTGGACGCACAGTCAACAAGTGACGCCGATGATTTGTCGGGAGTCAATCGCTGCAAGTTTATGCTCTTTTTTTGTCAGCTTTCACGAGTGAGCCATGTGGCCAAAACTGTGTGGCGCCAAAATGGCCGTCAAAAAGGTCTTAGCGTTAGACAGTTGGTAAACAGGCTTTTCAGGATGCATTACCAGCTGTCTAAGAGTATCATTTCGGGGTACCTAACTCAAGGTCACTTAAGCTCTACTTACTGGAGGGCTCAAAACAGTCAAAAACGTCTTAAAATGGCCAAACATGTGTTTCGTTATGCCTGAGGCTAAAAAAAACTGGAGGGCCGATAACATCAATGTGGTCATCTGGACTACCTAGTCCGTGCTCGAGATAAAACACCCGTCCAAACCCCAAAACGGTCCCATATGGGCGACGGAAAAGGCCTTTGTGTCATCCAGCTTTATTCCTATGCATAAGGCCAGGGTCACGGTAATGTGGAGTAATATGCGTCCAGACACTGATCACGTTGCGATTGATGCTCCAGAAACAGTCTTGGGACGCAGAATGCTTCTCCAAGAAGATCTAGGAGGAGTTTCAGCTTTCTAGCTTAACTCGAACCGCAAGTATGACCACATTTTTTTAGAAGAAAATGGCATCCGGGAGGTCGTAGGCCCATCTTCAAGCAAGACAGTGCATCAGTGCAGAGGTCAGGCAAAGCATAAAAGCAGTGCCAGGAGACTGTGATAGGCGTGTGTGGCAAGATCACATCCCAGGCAACTCATCGGATCCAAATTTCATAAAAATGTGTTGGGAATATTGAAATCGAGGCTCGTCGAAGCGAAGCGGTGTTCCAGCATTGAGGAGCTCACGGCGCATGCCAAGTCAGTCTGGGCTAACTTCAAGCCTGCTATGCTGCCAAACATGCCGGTTGGTATGTCGCAGCATGTCATCACGTGTTTGCCTATGAAATGGGGAGCACATTGATGGGTTATAAACATATCAAAACGCAATGTACTATGTTTTACATGCAAATAAAAGGTGAGAACGAACTTATGGGACACCCTGTAGAAGCCATGTTTCATCAAGTCAGAGTACCAGAGCGTGACAGAGACTTTCTACGGTTTCTATGGTGGGAAGGCGGCGATATGACAAAACAACCAGCTGAATACCGTTTCAGAGTACATCCTTTTGGGGCTACATCGTCACCAGCATGTGCAAACTACGCCTTACGCAAGACTGCTTCAGATTACGGATCGCATTTCCTTGCAGACACAGCAGAGACTATTCTATGCAATTTTTATGTCGACGACTGCCTCAAGTCAGTGGAGACGGACAGCGAAGGGATAACGATTGCTAAAGAGTTGATAGAGTTATGCTCTCTAGGAGGATTTCGTTTGACAAAGTTTCTGAGTACCAGTAGTGCACTACACGCTAGTGTAGCGGAAGAAAATCGTAAGACAGCAAATCTCTCAATCGAACTGGGCCAGGACAAGATGAATTTAGAAAAGGCTCTTGGAGTTACATGGTCCTTAGCAACAGACAGCTTCGGCTTTTCGGTTACGGTGAAGGACAAACCCATGTCCAAACGAGGTGTGCTGGCCATTGTCGGTTCGGTATATGATCCATTTGGACTGGCATCTCCTTGTGTTCTGGTTGCAAGACAGCTTTTGAGGGATCTATGCAAGCTGAAAATCAGCTGGGATGAGGAGATTCCACGTGTATACCAGAAGACGTGGCAACTATGGTTGAATGATTTACGTCATTTGAGCGATATATCTATTCCGAGGTGTCTGAGACCGCGGGACTTTGGCGACGTTGCAATGTATCAGCTACACCACTTTTCAGACGGTAGTGAGAGCGGATATGGCACTGTCTCATATCTACGGGTTGTCAACAACAAGGGAGAGATTTACTGCTGTTTCGTCTTTGGTCGGTCGAGATTGGCACCCATGAAAGGAACAACCATTCCAAGGTTGGAGCTGGCGGCAGCCACCTTGGCTGTGAAAATGGACAGAATGATACAACGGGCTCTCAGAACCAAGATTGAGTCATGTTTCTGGACCGACAGCACCGCAGTATTGCGCTATATCAGAAATGAGAGAACACGGTTTCACACATTTGTCGCAAACAGACTGGCGGTCATTCGGGAAGGAACTTCACCGCAGCAGTGGAGATACGTCCAGAGTCACTCGAACCCCGCAGATATTGCGTCACGTGGAGCGCGTGTGGACGATATCATGAAGAGTAAATGGTTCACCGGTCCCGATTTCCTGTGGAAACAGAGCTGCGAATGGCCTGCGATTCCAGAAAATCTAGGCGATATTTCCCAAGACATGGAAGTGAGAAGAGACCGACACTCCCATAGAGAGGAACAACCCGTGACAGCTTCTTTGTTGATCGGACCTGCTGATTTAAAAACAAGCTGCGTTAATATCGAGCCTCTGGATTCACATCCCGTCGCACGACTCATGAGCCACTATAGTAGCAGATGGAGAGCAATGAGAGCAGTTGCTTGGCTGCTGAAGATACGCCATGCCCTGTTACATGGCAGAGCGCCACAAAACAGTAACAGTCATTTGAGGATGGACGAGATCAAAGCTGGTGAGCTCGAAATAGTTCGATATGAACAGAACGACAAATTTAGTTCAGAAGTGAAGGCCCTGGCAGCTGGTAGATCTGTGAAGTTGTCTAGCAGCCTGCAACGGTTCAATCCGATCCTGAAGGACGGGATTATGGTGGTCGGCGGGCGTCTCGAAAACGCCCTGTTAGAAGCCAATACGAAACATCCTATCATTCTTCCCTATGATTCTCGGTACACCCGTCTGCTAATACAAGATGTACATGAGCAATCGGGACATCAAGGGCTCCAGCACGTTCTCGGCCTACTACGACAAAACTATTGGGTCATTCATGGGAACAAAGCCGTGAGGAAGGTGCTGAAAAGTTGCCTTCACTGTCGGAAAAGATTCCGCCAGCCAGAGAACCAAAAGATGTCTGAACTGCCCACAGATAGGGTTAGAGCGTTAGAGCCCCCTTTCACACGGACTGGGGTCGACTGTTTTGGTCCGTTTTATGTGAAGCGGGGAAGAGGGCAAGAGAAAAGATACGGAGTTATCTTCACATGCTTGGTCACACGCGCCGTTCATCTCGAGGTGGCTCATGCTCTTTCTACGGACTCTTTTATTTGCGCTTTGAAACGATTCATGTCCCGAAGAGGCAACGTCAAAGTGGTCCGGTCCGACAATGGTACCAATTTCATCGGAGCGAACAATGAATTGCAGCACGAGTGGAAGAAACTGCATTCTACAAATACCATTTATTCAGAACTAGCAAAGAAAGGGATCGAATGGATTTTCAATACCCCAGGTGCCTCTCACCACGGAGGTGTGTGGGAAAGAATGATCCGATCAACAAGAAGGATAATGGAGTCGCTGCTAACCACGCAGCTGCTGACGGACGAAACGCTCAGAACTTTCCTGTGTGAGGCAGAAAATATTATGAACAGCCGTCCGTTGACCCCAGTGTCCATGGATCCAACCGACGCCGGCCCACTCACACCCAACCATCTTTTGCTGCTAGCACCGGGAGGATTTTTACAAACGGGAATTTGGCAAGAAACCGACAACGTTAGCATGAAAAGATGGAAACAAGCAAGATATATGGCAGGAATATTTTGGAAAAGGTGGCAGGCTGAATACTTGCCACTGCTACAAAAGCGTCCAAAAGACTGGGCTCGTAAGAAACAAAATTTGGAGATTGGAGACATCGTCCTACTAGTTGACTCATCAGTACCGCGGGGACAATGGCCAATGGGAAAAGTAGAAGCCGTCAAGATGAGCACGGACAAACTCGTTCGGTCGGCGACGATCCTCTGCCGGGGGTCACATCTCAACAGACCCATAACCAAACTAGTGAAGCTCTTGTCGAACGAACAAACTGATGATGACCAGACGGGAAACTACTAAACAACGGAGAAGTCCAAGAAGTGATGGCCGATTGTTCATGATGCGTATTACATGCTCAGACTAGGCGGACAGTTCTAATCGATGTGATGATTTGGACGTACGACGGTCCAAAGGGGAGGGTGTCGTGACCGGAGACCCCCCGAAAAAGCGTCTCATGAGCCAGCTCGAGTTTTAGTATTTTTGAATATTCTCTCGGAGCATGCAATTTAGGTTAAAATCGAAAAACTGTGTTTTGTGTTGGATTTGGCAGTTGGAAATTGGTTTGGTATTATTTCGTCAGTGTTAAGTTATTTTCTCGGTTATTAATATGGTTTATTTTGTGACGAAAGCGAAGCGATAGAACGACACGACATTACGGATGAACGAAGCCACCGAACGATACGAATTATTTCTGCGACCCGCCTATAAATCCGACATTCTTGGTGAGTGTATGTTCCTTTTTATGCTTGTTTGTTTATGCTTTCGGCTGATGCAAGAAGTTCGTCTGTATTTATTTATGTCCGTTGAGTTATGTTATCTAAATTGTCTCATATATGTTCTCCAGAAACCGTGAAATAGAAGTTAACAGCGAGTTTTCCTACACGAGTTTTACAAGTCACTGGCGGGCGCAACACTGATGACTGTGTCTTTAAGTTAATGGAAGACTCGGTCCTGCCATCATTGCTGGAATGAAAATAGCGCTAGCTTTTCGTATTAACATTAAAAACAAATGTAAGAGCCAAGAGGTAATTTTGTGGTATGCATATGCTGCAGTTTCATGATGATCCGCTAAAGAATCTGCATGCAGCTTTGTAAAAAGAAGGTGAGCTGGCCCATGGTCATTGGTCATGCACGTTGTTATCGTTAACTATGTCTCGGAAAGGAGTTACCATTGTCGGAATGCTGCCTGTATATGTAGAGTCAGTTTAGCAACGGTTTCGTGATGGTGAGGTGGAACCACAGGAAACATGACATGATGAAAGCTAGCACATCTTTTTATCGCTACGAGGAGTTCAGCTGTACAGTACACTGTATATGTCCATTGTAAGCAGTGGAATTCCCTTTCCAGCTGGTTTTCACCAATGGTATACAAATGCGCTGGCAACGGCATGATGGCTGAGTCTCAGTTGTGTCACGCAGCTTTGAAATGATGTCCACTCACACTTAACACACTGTAGCCCTATATTTTTTCGATTTTTTTTCGTTTTTTTTTTGTAACTCAATGTCATGGCAAGTGAAGCTATAAAAACTATATAACGAAAGCTAAACTATGTTGGTACTTGGTAGGCGAAAAAAATGAAGTTATATTCTGCTTCACTCGAAAGTTTTAAATTTTCCGTCATTGCCAGATTCACGAGGGAAATAATTCGGATTTGCATGGAGACAGCTAAAAAGGACGAATCATGACTGAGTTGAATCCGGAAAATAGCATTTACATAATCTATGTCTTGCATGACATTGCATGACCTTGACCTCGAGGCACCCACTGTGGCTGCAGCCACATGACTCCAATGAAATCAATTAACGCTTATACATACTTCATTTGTAACTTGCATAATAGTCACATACTTTAGAAGGCGGAAGCCTCACCTAGATGTAAAAATGGTCGATATCGGCCATACGTTACCTAACGTGATATAGCTTGGCGATCTGACCCGGCAGGAGAGCAAAGTTCTCCGAAAATGTGTGTCAAGGATAAATGTAAAGCTACGCTAAAGCGCGCCCGATACGTATATGAGCTGCAGATATATCTGCGAAAACCAACCCGTTCGTCAGCACCGCCGCTGATACCAGTGAAGAGTCCTGCACAAATCTGTCATGTCCTTAAAGTCCTGTTTGACGTCGTATATGTATATGCTTGCATAACCGGCTCCAAAAGTATCAAATATACATCGCATTTAATATACTGCCGGGAACACCATGGTTGCTGTAGCACAATAGCGCCAAATTCCTCAAAGTAAGCACGGTATGCAATATGCATGTCATGTGACAAGTGCATCATGAGCTTTAGAGGATGATTGATTGCTCCAAACTAAAACAAATTGTATAAAAGAGACGAACTGGCAGCAAAACCGTAATAGAATTTGATGGTATACGTTATGTTATGAATGGATATGAGCAGCAATAGAAACCCTCGATACGGCTAATGTTATACCTTCCTATCGATACGCATCTAAGCAGTATGTGCTGTAATGACTTTATTGCATTGCGGCAGCAACTTCGTACTTAAAATCTCTTAGGATGACAGTTCAGAATTGTTCTTTGGTTCTTTGGCAGCTACCTATTCTTCATTGGCATTCGCTGGTATACATTAGTGCAAAATGGATTTGTCCAATAATAAGGCTATGAAAACGTCAACACAAAATCAATCAAACTTCGATCAGAATATCCGACCACTGGTATTTTAACTTGAAGCTTACTGGAGCCTTTTGCTTATCAGCGGGTGAGTTTAATCACTGATGACTGACGATAAATTTTATTGCTTAGGTACTTGTCTCAGGGTAGAAGCAGAAGCTGTGCCGCTCAGTCATGCACAAGAACAACTGACGATTCAACGACGCACGTGTTTGGCAGGAGTGCTGAGTTTTGTGGTTGCGAATCCTGTTTCAGGCATGCTAATACCCAGACCCACACAATATGTAAGGCATTGAGCATGGCTCGAGCTTCACTCGTAAATACCTATACCACAATGCGATGAATTTTAAAGGTAGTGTGCCAGCTTTCCTGGACCGTATGAAGTTAATGGCCCAGATAGGGAGAACCGGATTTTTAGAACTTATCCATACCTTCAAAACTCATGGAAACGTCTTAAATTCTTCAAATTTTGAGTACCCCAGTGCGAAATTCGCCTCGACGGGTTGTCGGTCGTACCCCAACCACATTTCACACCACTATGAACAATAAATGCACACACTGAAATCGCTATTACCGATAGGCTCACCCAATCAAGTTTCGATAAACCCGTTCATCATCATCTCCTGCGGTTTCGAACACGCCTGTTAGGTGGTGCGGTAGACCGCGCCCAAAGCCAGGGCCCCGGTAACGTGAGGTAGCCGAGTCGGGGCAGCGTGCGCTGACCCAAGCCGGGGCCGCGCGTCCTCCCGGTGTCATGTGATAGCCCGGGGCTGCCCGCGGGGATGCGGTAGACCGCGCCCAAAGCTGCGGCCCCGGCTTGGGTCAGCGCACGCTGCCCCGACTCGGCTACCTCACGTTACCGGGGCCCTGGCTTTGGGCGCGGCTTCTGCTCATACTTTGTGGTGCGGTGGTGGTGCGTCGGGCCGCGCGCTCTGACTTCGGCCAAGAAAAATGCGTCAGCTGATCATTGTCATTTCTGCCACTTGCGTGTGGTGAAATGGGGTCATAACTTAAGAGACGGCTTTTTCATATCAATTATTTTACATAAAATCATATTTCAAACCATAAATAATGTTCGACAGCCAAATAAAAGAAACAATACCAATACAGGCTTACAGTTTAAGGCTCGGCATTGTGTTGTCTACGATTAGACAGCTGATAACTCATTCCCGTACGTCGTAACTCTATAATGACCTTTGCTTATTGTCACATGTGCGCCGCATTCGCGATTGTTGCCGACGCCTGTTTGCAGGTCAGCCCACTACAGTTGTTATACATATCGAAAAACCGATAAACTTTTAGGCAGGGGTGAAAAAATGTCTCAGGCTGTCACCGACGGAAGGTCCAGCTGACTCACGCCTAATTTTGACATTTGAGCAGTAGCTAAATGAAGTTTGAGATGCGCTGAGGACCTCAATGTACGCCTATCATGAAATAATCAATTTTCGACAGTCACAACTCACATCATTGTGCTGCAGTTATTGGAATCACAAACCACTGACACCATAGGCGGTGGAACGGGGGGGGCACCGGGGCACCAGTGCCCCCCCCCTTGATTTTGGCATTTTAACATTAGCCCTATGGGCGTTGCATGGAAAGAATGGGACCAAAAGTCGGCAGTCCCCCCCCCCCCCTCCCTTAATTGAAGGTGTTCCGCCGCTACTGACTGACACGTAGATAGGAAGAAGCTGTAGAACAGCGCTGAGTGTATTGTCCGTTCAAAAGCGGAAGCAAATTTTCGTTCTATTTAATGCATGGCTTGAGGTCGTTTCGACACGAAGAGAAGCATCACAAACAAGATGATCATCCGCCATTCCATTTAGGTGAATGTTTTCCAGAAAAGGAGATGGAACAACGGTTGATCATAATCCTCAAAACACGGATGGCTCTCGTCGAGTGACGTTCAGCATGCTCCTTGTAAAACTCGGTTCGGTTAGAGAGTAGTTGATTAGTATGTAGCACCAACAATCTCAGCTTGTTCGAGACACCAATAGATACGGTTGTTAGGCCCATGGCGAGCGGCGAAGACCGCAGTCCCTTGTCCCTCTTATACGGCCTTGCCTTGCCCACGGTTTATGACGATACGGCGGAGTCCTACCATCCCAAAACGTCCGAGGTCTGTTTATGGCGCCGGCGATGGCTCCCCGAAGATCCTACTGGTCAGTTGAATTCGAAAAGTCTTAGTGATTGTACCTCGCTGTGTCGGTTGTGAGGCCGAGTATTGCGCAGAGGAATTGTGACTAGCGCTACGCATTGGTATAACATCGTAAGTACCTAAATCGGGCATCTGTAGTGTTTTTTTTTTCGGGAATAGAATCACCGTTAACAAATACCCCGCTAATTTAATTTACATTTAGCTAAAAAAAAAACGAAAAGTATTGTTTGATATCAGCTGAGCAAGGTAGCACTTTTACTTGTTATCGACCTCAGGATCAAGCTGGTATTAGAAATAACATATGTTCACCGTTAAACACTTTTCCTCTCTATAATGCAAACCTGATTCGAACTTCATCGCATAAACATGCGTCGCCTCCGAGATGCGAACTCACGACCCACGGATCCGTAGTCCGAGACGCTACCAACTGCGCTACATGGGCCCGGGCGGCGCCGCTCGGAGAGATGCGAGGCGGCTCGTGGGGTGCAGGGAAATATTTACCCCGTACGCCCTAGAAGATCGGCTGGGTTTCGTGCAAAATGGTAGCCAACCAAATGCTTTGACTTACCTGATATGTTTGCAGAGACTGAGATTGAGATAAGACAGATGCAGAGGCACCACTTGCATTATTCGTGGTGTTTGTGTTGGTGTCCGATGTCTGGCTTTTCCCATCTTCAGTGGAGCACAACCATGAACCACGTGGAACACAAATTACCAAAAACGCCAACGACCGCAATCCCGCCACACAAACAGGACATACAGGGTTGGGCAGATAAATTGGGACAAAATACGTATTTGCATTTAAAACGCCGTAGCTTAGAAATTTGTAAACATAGGCATTTCAAATTTGGATCACATATTGTCACACCAATTTTACACATTTATCACTAAATATGGTCACCGTGGTCCACCTGCATCAGTCCTTGTCGGTGC